TGCGGAGGAACTACAGCCTTAGTGTGGCACAGGGAGGAGCGGGCTAGCTCCACATTGTCGATCAGACAGCCGTGGCCCATCCCTCCACAAAATCTGCCATGTCAGCCCGCTGGAAGGCGTGGGGGGTTTTTGGCACATGTCCTGAGTTCACAGTCCCCCTAGGTTATGCTCGTAACCACCTAACTCGTTTCCCCATTTCTCTCCCCAACAGCCTGCCGAAACCTGGCTTCCCACCTCCCCTGGAACATAAACCAACAGGCTTCAAGGCCCTGTAAGCGCGGTCTCCCTGCTAACTTTACTGACTTTTGTTCGGCTCGCCTCCCCTTTCCCTCTGCTCAGACCCCACAGCTCCCTGGCTCTTCTCCTGCCTGCCCGGCACATCCCACCCTCCAGCTCCGCGAGCTGCTCTTCCTTCACCGCTTCTTCACTCGCTTATCACTTGTCCGTGAGACCTTCCTGGCCACCGTGCACCATGTTGAAACTGCACCCACCTACCCTGCCTGCACCTCGGGTCGCCCTCCTCCGCTCTTTTTCTCCGCTGCACCCCTCATCATCTTACACACTATGCAATCCACCTCCCCACCCCCCAAACCAAAGGTGCAACATGTTTATTGTTGAGCCATCCTTTTATTGTGGAAGCATCAAAAGAGCATAAGAAACCCCAGCTTCCCAACATGCTCAGTTGCTCTGAGCGTGCGAAAGGGTTTGGCTGGATGTGATCCGATGCTAGGGCGCATGACAGAGCATAAATACGTGTGGCCTCACATGTGCGACTCCTCGGAGCCCCTCCTTGGATCTCCTCATCTCCTCGTGGAATTGGAACTACATCTGATTTTATGACCAGTTTTCATGTGAATCCACTGGGGAATGGGACAATCCTGCCTTTTTCCATTTTACCAGGGGTCTATTTGTCCTCAAGGTCTCAGGTGAGATGGGGTCAGTTTCCTTTGTGGTCTCTTAGCTATCTCCTACACTAACCTGTTGATTCACAGAGGGAGGTATTTTCCTCTTTTCCATACTGTATTCCAGTTCCTGGAACAGTGCCCAGCACACAGTAGGCCCTCAACAAATATCCGACGGAAAGAGTGAGGTCTACCTGTTGTGAAAATGTATCCAGCTGGGGAGTGGTGGGAAATGTACATTTCCTAAAGCACTTGGAAGTGCCAGGCAGTTTGCTAGTCTCAGTCACTGACCTGTCACACATTATCCGAAGAGGTCACTGTACCACCAGTTCACCAGGAAAACAGCCATCCAGGGGCGTGAAGAGAGGAGACGGAGGTACATAGGTGCAGAACACGGTGCAAGCCCAACTCTGTGATTTCGAAGCCTGGGTTTGTCCCACCATCCCACGTTACCTCGTTCTCTTTGGTAGCAGCTCCCACTTCTCTAAGGAAAACACAACTTCCAGGGCTCACACCTAGGTCCATTGCACACAGGGGAGCCTGAACCACAGAGATCATTGGGGGTCCCCTTGGGGTCAAAGAGACAATGTCATGAACATCCTGGGTGATCGTTCGCTCACAGTGCATTCGCTCCACTCCCTCGTGGCTTCCCTTCCTGTATTCAATACTCACCCAGGGGCTACCCTCGCCAGGCGCTATTCTCAGCAATGGGGATAAAGAGATGTAGGAGACACAACTGCCACCTTCCACAAACCGGTCTGCAGTCTAGGGCAGGGCTGCTCAATAGAGATAGACTGCAAGTCATGAACGTCATCTTACGTATTCCATCAGTTCATTATTTTTTTTGGGGGGGGGTGGAGAAGGAAAAATAAACAGGTGCAATTCGTCTTAATACATGTTGAATGCAACCTATCCAAGCTGTTAGCCTAGCACCGTGAAATCTATGTATTATCAATGAGCTTTTTATGTTTTTCTTTTGCTAGCAAACCTCCAAAATTAGTGTGCATTTTAAACTAGCAAACAAAAGTCCTACTACTGAGACAATGGCGCAAATGACAGCAGTTATGCGGATGTCACGGGACCAGGTAGAGTCTCGGTCTGTTGGACACGGGGTCGGAGGCAACTCAGTGGCACTTGGTAACACCACCACCACCTTCAGGTCAATGCCAACTCATAGTGACCCGATAGAGCAGTGATTCTCAACGTTCCTAATGCCGCGACCCTTTCATACAGTTCATGTTGTGGTGACCCCCAACCATAAAATTATCTTTGTTGCTACTTCATCACTGTCATTTTGCTACTGTTATGAATCGGGTGGCCCCTGTGAAAGGGTTGTTCAACCCCCAGAGGGGTCGCGACCCACAAGTTGAGAACCACTTCTATAGAGGGTTTCCAAGGCTTTTGCATCTGTACGGAGCAGACAGCTTCATCTTTCTCCTTCGAATTAGCTGGTAGGTTTGAACTGCTGACCTTGTGGTTAGCGGTCCAATGCTTACTCCACAGAGACACTCAGTATTTACAGTACGGCTGAGTTTGGAATAGCCACATTTCAATGGCTCAGCAGTCACATGTGGCCAGTGACAACATTGGCCAGCACTGTGACTAGGGGAAAAGAGCTGTATTTAAGGAGATTTTCAAAACGATGAGATAAAGAGATGCGGTGTTTGAAATGTGTTCAGGACCACTCAACTACCAGAGTGAAGACTTGAGCCACCAATTCCTATGTTCACGCTGCAGCCCAGAAAAGAGGAACAGGGGCATCACCCCACTTCAAACAATTGGCCTCAAGCAACCAAGCTAAATATATCCTAAACCAAGCTCCTCCTCTCCCATCAAAGGCTCCTCCCATCTCACTTAGTTTCAGCCATTCTCTAATCTGCTTGCTCACTCAAGGCACGTTTGTTTCATCTTTAGAAAAACCCAACATTTTATCTAGACAACAATTTGGAATCTGAATGTTTCCCAAAGAAACATCTTCCTCTCTTAGCTTCACTTACATTTTCACGTTGGGTCACCCTAAGCCTCGCCCCTACTGAGTTTCAACAGCAAGTCCTTTTCTGTAAGTCCTTCCTGGCTCCAGCGCTTAGAGACTAAGAGCTTTATCACACAGCGCACAATTCCCGCCAAGATATGACCTTGTGTACCTCTCAAGCAACACCCTATAGTTTGTCATTCCCCAACCCCGAATGGGTTCGTTTTCCTTCTCTAAACTGGCTACTCTTTTATAAAAGTCAGAATCCTAATCTCTCGTAGGGGTCCTGTGGCACAGCAATTAAGTGCCTGGCTGCTTACTTGAAAGGTTATGGACTCCAACCTACCAGCCACCCTGCAGGCGAAAGCTGTAACAGTCAGCTCCCATAAAGAATACAGCCTTGACACTGTGATGCTCACCTTCCCCGACACAATTGCTGAAGACAAAATGGGTGCATAAGCAAATGAGGTGAAGAAAGCTGATGGTGCCTGGCTAACAAAAAATACAGCATCTGGGGTCTTAAAGGCTTGAAGTTAAAACAAGCAGCCATCTAGCAGGGAAGCAACTAAACCCACTTGGAAGGAGGACACCAGGCTGTGTGATCATGAGGTGTCAATGGGATCAGTATCAAAAGATCCCAAACAAACAATTATATTGATGCGAACTATAGACAACTGGACATCCCTCCCACAGAAGGGTTACAAGGAAGGGACCATTCAACCAGGGTGCAGCATAGCACCAACTTAACACACATTATTTCTCTAGTCCCTGTGTGATTCCTGCCTCCCACTACCATGACCCAGTTCTATCTTACAAATCCGGCTAAACCAGAGTACACACGTTGGTGCATATAAGAGCTCTTGACACAGGGAACACAGGACAGATAAAGCCCGCAGGAACAGTAGTGGGGACAGCAACATCATAAGGTTAGGGGAATATTGGGGGGGGGGGTACCCATCACAAGGTTGGATATGTAGCCCACCCCACAGGGGGACGAATAACAGAAACGCGGGTGAAGGGAGACAATGGACAGATGATGTAAGATACGAAATAACAATAAAAATATACCATTGATAAGGATTCATGTGCGTTGGAGGGAGGGGGGAAAAGAGAAGCTGATACCAAGGGCTCAAGTAGAAAGAAAATGTTCCGGAAATGTTGATGGCAACATTATGTGTAAGTGTGCTTAATACAATTGAATGATGGATCCTTATAAGATTTGTAAGAGCTCCCCCAATAAAGTGAATAATAGAAGGCAAGATATGACAAAATAATAATTTATAAATTATCGAGGGCTCATGAGGGAGGAGGAGCGGGAAGGGAGGGAAAAATGAGGACCAATGCTGGGGGCTTAAGTGGAGAGCAAATGTTTTGAGAATGATGAGGGCAATGAATGTACAAATGCGCTTTACACAATTGATGTATGTATGGATTGTGATAAGAGTTGTATGAGCCCCTAATAAAAATGATTTAAAAAAATAAAGTGAATAATAAAGACTAATACAGCCTTGGAACCCCAGTGAGGGGGTTCTAGGCGGACCGGTCCTCCAAGGTCATTGTGCGTAGGAATGAACGAGACAGGGAAATGAGGATTGAGTGAAGGTTCAAAAGGAGAATGCACTCCTAGCCTCCCTTCTCAGCGTTGGCACATCCAGCAGTTAGGCAAGTCGGCCGGGCGCACTACGTTTACAAAGCTGCAACCCCCAGTCTGGAGTCACACCTCCGGCAAGGCCCCTGCCACCAGCCCGGAGCCTGATAGGAGCCGCCCCCCGCTGCGCAGACCCCACCAGCCGCAGCGCCACCACCCGCTGCAGCTTCCCCTGCAGCTCGTCCGCGCGGACAGGTGTGGTGCCTCAGGTGTCCATCACTGCCGGTCCTCAGGGAGTCCAGCCTGGTGCCTCAGGTGTCCATCACTGCCGGTCCTCAGGGGGTCCAGCCAGCAAACCGGCAGCAGCGGCAGGTCGGCCCTTGGCACGAAGAGCGGCGACCGAGTGGGGAGTGCCTGCAGAACCAGGCAACTTGGGCTTGGGGAGCGTTCCAGCAAGGTGCTGAAGCAGCGCAGATTTGCAAATGGGTTGGCGAAATTGAGAAACCCCCAGGGAAGAAATGGAAAACAGGCTCTCACGACCAAGTTAACGTAAACGTTTAATGGGTGGTGGAGGAAAGTGTCCCAGCAGGCACCGTCATCGGCCTTGCTTCCGAATCACCGTGGGAGACGATGTTCTCGCAGTCTTGGGATGATGTCCGGATGGAGCCGGACAAAAGTCTGTGTGTTCATGCTTGTGAATTCATTAGAATAAAGTTACTTTCTTTCAAAGCAAAAAAAAACAAAAAACAAAAACACGAAAAACCAACCTAGTATATGGAATACAGATGATATAAGGGCATCATCTCCCTCTTCATGACACGTTTATACCTTTTTTATTCATTGTGTGCTGAGTTCTTACTACACGCTAGACACTATGCAGAAAACAAACCCCGGGCAAACTCACTGCCAAAGGACAGGGTAGAATTGCCCCTGCGATTTCCCTCAACGGTAACTCTTTAAGGGGGTGCAAAGCCCCGTCTTTCTCCTTGCAGAACCCAAAGCAGAGGAAGCAGATAAACAGGTGAAAAGGCGCGGTCTTGACCTCCGGAGATCTTTACAGTGTCGTTCCTCCTCCAGCAGCTGACATCTAACTGGGCCATCTGTAGCACTAAGAACGGCAGGGGAAGGGGTGGGTCCTCGGGAGATCAGGTCAGGATCTTCTAGGGGGCACAACCGTATCTTTGCACTTTCGCTGCCTTGGGCTGCGATCACAGATCGGGGACACCCTCCCTCTCCCCCGCCCCCCCCAACGGAGACCAGAGCCGCACGTGGCAAGGTCGGCCCAC